CCCCTTGTGACGCCACTGCTCAGGTGAGTAACTGCTATTGGTTTCGAAGGCTCTTAAAGGTGTACAAATTCAATCTTTTGATGACCTAATTAACTGGAGTAATTATCTTCTAGCTTTCATTTTTTTTTCTTCTTCTAGATTATAAAACTAACTTTGGCATTTTAATATTCTTTAACAACCCGGTGTGAACATCAGGCTGTAACAACCAGCGACCAATCAGAATTGATCTCTTACTGCACAGACTAGGCTCCTTAGCCGAAGTCTGGTTGCCATGGGTTACTGTGCATCCTCTCTCTCCCCGTTGGTTCATAAAGACCTTTATGAACTGCAACCATGCTTCCCGTTTCCCACAGCATTGTTGAACACCCGCAGATGTCAAAGCCTTGCATCGATTTCTTAATTTTATTATGTTCCCTGTTGTAATCCGAGATTACCCCCCGAACAATGGTGATTTTTTTTTTTTTTCTCCATTTCTCTTCCCAGCCACAACGGAATTCTCTAAGGAGCTGTCAGCGAGAGATGTAATAGGGGATTTATAAAGCCAGCGGCTAATTTATGTGGATCTATTTTATTTTGCCTAGAAAGGGCAGGCTCCTTTGCGTCTACATGGCATATTGTAAGCCTGCAGAAAACCAGGAGGCTGCATATGGGAATCCCTTGATATCATTCACTTGCTGTGTAATCTTATTATGCAAAGTTCTAATCTTCATCTAGAGTGAATGCCTCCGGGTCACAATATAGTCATATCAAGGTTTTAGAGGTCATGTTTTGTGATCCTCGGCTTAGTCTTTTAAGTAAGTCTGGGATTTAAAGGGTATTCCCCTGACAGCGTTGGAGATAGACAAGCAAAAAAAAAAGACTGCTGCCTTTCTATTTTTTTTTTGGAAGAGGAGACCTACATGAGGTCCCTGGCAGGATTAAAGTTGATTTTGTAGCCGTAGGTCTTCTTAACAGATGTATTATTGGACAGGGAATAGGGGGCCCACCAGCACAGCGGAATTGGAAGGCGATTGGCATTCTCGGCAAGGCGGCTAGCAGCTAAAACAGCAGCTGCATGCGGATTTGACTTCATTTAGGTGAAGCTCCTTCCAGTCACTCGGAAGGGATGGGATGAAAAGGAACGTCGCTGATAATTTTGATGTCTGCAAGATTTACTACGGGTGTAATGGGATTATCTGTAACACCTTCCGCGCAGGGTGGGGGGCGGCAAAAAACACTCACCTAGCGCTTTAACTGGCAGTAACGGCTAAATAATCCCTTCCCATCTCCCGCATGCCATTCACCAGCCTCGGCGCGGCGTCTGCCCCCCACTTACTGTGATTAATTTTTATAAACGTAATAAGGAAAATCGTGTGAAGGAAGGCACAAAATATTCATAAGAGAATATGGTCCATGTCTGGGCCCGCGGCATGGAATGCTAGAACTTGTTTAACTTCCTGCTGTATACTGCTAGACGCCGGTTGTAAATTGTATTTTTAGCTTCTATGCCGCTGCCTTCTATTATTTCTTGGGGTTTACAGGGTACGTTCTGCCATTCTGATCACCGGCTACTGAATTTTATAGATTCATGAGCCTATTTAAAGGTCAACTCTAGGCATATACAAAAGACAGACTGATGCAGCTCTGTATTCATTAATGAATATTTTTTTTCTCTTTTATAAAGGAGAGGCAGTGTATGTCCCTGATTCTGACTTATCAGCCTGTTGCAATACCCTATACAGCAGAGCTTCGAGTGGCATAAGGTGCCAATCTGTTGTGCTCATGTGCCAACATGGAGAATGGTAAAAGATAGGGGTGCACAGATACCAATTTTTCAGCATAGAGTACCTATTCTTATAATAATTATATATTTTTCCCTGACACTCGCCGAGGCCGATACCAGAAGTCCCATTAAGGAAGCTGTGCAGCGTGTAATGACTCGCCGCCTGGCTTCCTGATTAGCCTGGAAATCGGCTCCAGGTGATGAGGAAGCATGGCGCTGGCTCTCTGGCCAATCGGGAAGCCGGGGAGTGGATAATGACTTGCCGTCCAGCTTCCTGATTGGCCAACTTCCCGACCAATTAGGAAGCTGGGCGGCAAGTCATTACATGCCCCCCGGCTTCCTGATTGGCCGGGAAGTCAGCTCCATGCTCCCTGGTGATGAGTGAACATGGAGCTGGCTTCCCGACCAATCAGGAAGCTTGGTGGCGTGTAATGACTCCCCGTCTGGCTTCCTGTTACCGGAAGTTCCGATATCAGGAGCATTTGGGTGAGTACTTGTACTCTGTATTGGCACAGATACTAGTATTGGCATCGGTGCATCCCTAGTGAAATCGAGCAGACAAAGATGAGCGGTCTGCTGCTTCTCCTTTTTCACTGTCCAGTCATGGGCTGGGGGAGGTATAAGACCTGCAAGTATGACTTATCTGCTGCAGATAGAAATCACGACTCCTGCCCTGCCTTGCCAGACCAGGCAAATTCAAGATGGTAACACAGTCCCCCATATGTGTATTTAATTTGTGTTTCGACCTTGAGATCGACTTAAATCAAGAAGAGTTAAAGGTAGTGATAATATGTACGGTGCTGGTTTCACTGAGTTTCAGCAGTGCTAAGGGTTTTATTGCCCTTTTGCACATTGGCTTTTTTTTTTCTCTTCGTAAACTAAAGTTCCAGACATAAAATGATGGTCAGGGAAATGGATGCCTGTTCTTGAACTTTCCTTGTCTGTCAGGTAAATGGATTGCATTACCTTTTTAAAGTAGAACTCCAAGAAAATGTTTTATTTTCTTTCAGTTTGAGGAATTATTTAGATCCCCTGTTGGGGTTTTTATTGTAGCCCTTGTTACTTATGGAGAATGACTTCACATCTCCACACAGTTTGAGGCCATAGGTTGTGCTGTATACTTGTTGGGGTTTTCCAGATGATCCTATGCCATGTGTCCGTTTTTGGTGAACCCTGGTGTGAAGGATCAAGCAGCTAAAAAGGGAGGGTGACTAGGGGTGAGTTCAGCAGAAGCACATGTAGGGGAGGAAAAGGCTTAAAAAGGAAATTTGGTATTTGAAAGCAGGTATACCACTCCACCAGTGTGATTCCTGGTTCTTTAGTGGCCACTTTATCAAGACATGGTTGTGCAGTACACTTCCTTTTTTTAAAGTTCCCAGATGGTCCAGTAGTGTACTGTAATTAAGCCATACAGCCTAGTCGAAGACCCTCTCCATCCTGTGAATGAACATTTGAGGAGATCAACCCTGTGCTTTCTCCTCCTATAATTAAGAATTTCAATCGAGTATTTGGGTGAGTACTCGTACTCGCCCAAATGCTCCGATACCTGTATCAGGAAGCCGGGCATCATTACACGCTGCCCGGATTCCTGATCGGCCGGGAAACGGCTCCATGCTCTCTCGTCACTTGTGATGAGCGAGCATGGAGCCGACTTCCCGGCCAATCAGGAACCCGGGTAGCGTGCAATGACGCGCTGCCCGGCTTCCCGATGGGTCAGGAAGCTAGCAAATCCGGAAGCCGGGCGCCGTGTAATGACGCAGCGCCCGGCATTCTGATTGGCCTGGAAGCTGGCGTCATGCTCCCTCGTCATCTCATGAATCATAATATTAAGAAAGTGGCCTTTAAAGCATTAGTTTGTATTGCTTTAGAAAAAATTTGACCTGTCCCTTTAGAAAAAGTATCGGTAATTGGTATCTGCGAGTACTTGATCAAAAGTATCGGTACTCGGTCTTAAAGTGGTATCGGTGCATCCCTAATATAAACCTTTCTAAAGCTGGTTTAGGAGGATGGTTATACATGCATGCACAGTTTGACTGTCCTCAGACAACAGGTACTGGTGGGTCCATGAACAGGAACCCTCTTTTTCAGGTATGACTAGAGAGGAAGAGGAAATTGCCGTAGCTCTCATAGTAGTTGTTTCAGGCTTTCTAACCGTTGAGCCGTGTATTACCTGCACAATAAAGGTGAAATAAATATTTTGTTTCCTTCTTCCTCTGCCCCTCCTTTTTTTTTTTTCTTTTTTAAATATTTCTTTGTTTCGGATGTCTAAGACCACAGTTTGAATTAAAGAAGTTCTAACAATACTTTCTGTATATCTAATTGTTTTTACTTGCTGTTTTTTATACAGGTGGACAGTTTAGGACCCCTCTTGTAGGACTACTGTGACCATGTTTAGAAGAGTTGTTTGGAAGTCGCTGGGTTTCTTCGGCTATGCTATCCAGTATGGTTGTATAGCACACTGTACTTTTGAGTACATTGGGGAAATAGTTATAGTAAGTATTGTTTACATTGTTTACATTTCTTTTGGTTTTTGAATGGCTTTGGGTTTGCAGAGGAGAGCAATTTATTGTTTATTGTTTATTTGTTTTTTGGAGCAGGGGTGCAGTTTATCCAGTTAAAAGAAATTGCATTTTGGCTTCTATTTTTAGATTTATAAACCTTGTCGAAAGTTCAGAAATGGGGACCTTTTTTTTTTTTTTTTTTTGTTAGATTCGTAAATCAGCGTTA